TGGAATAGCGGTCACTGTGCTCCATGGTCGCCACATCATTCGTCCTCTGAGCCTCGTTTTTTTTGCCATTTTGCAATCAATGAGGTAAATAAGCCGGGTTTGCTCTCTGCTGAAGCGGTTGGAGTTCCCTGTTGGTCCTCCTACTGTGAACCTGTCCCCTGTTCCTGAACACCATCCTCCATCTCTCCTATCTCATACACCCCCAACGGGACGACGTCGGTAATTTTTTTACCGAATTGCTGAGACAATGTTTTGGCCTTCCTCAAAGTACGGGATTGCAAAGGATACATCTGTTGCAACTTGCCATTCATTTCTCTCTTCCACATACCGTGCTGCTAGCAGTGGGCGTATTCCCATCATTGTCAGCCTGGCTGACGTTGCTGAATGCCAGACATGGGGTGCTTTGCCTTCAGCAATGTGTCGGAGTTTTTCTTCCTGTCCGAGTAATGCCAGACCCAGTCCGGTTCGTCCAGGTTGTCATCGAAGACCCATCCATCATAGGATGGGTCCACAATGAACCACGTACCCGGCGCATCCCTACTTTGACCAGCATGTTGGGGTGGAGTTTTTGTTCTTTTTGCTGTTTCGGAAATTTTGGACAATTGGGGTCGGTGCCGAGGTGGCCCCTCTCCTTGCATCTGAAGCATATCGGTGATGATTTTGTCGAGACGTCAATGAGCAGATCCTTGTCTTGAATAACCAGCTTCCATTGCGAAGGAAAAACTGGTGGGTCGTCAGTCTTCACCTCAAGGATTGCAATCATCGTGCCGAAGTCGGGGGCCAAAAAGTCTTGTGTTGGCAGAATCCATTTCAGGATTTTGTTTGCTGGATACTGTCTCTCCAGCCTGTCGACAATAAGACCATGGAATCGTGGCTGTATCCTATCAAATTGGACCCAGCATTGCTCTCTCATCAGTGTTTGTTTGTAAGAAACTGTGTAGGTCGGATTCGGGCGGGAGTTTGTCTGCTTCTTCCATGATGTTATTGTACAGAGTGACCCGTTACAATTCCTTGATTTCATGTCAGCTGCGATTTGTGCGTGTTTTTCATGATTGACCATGACCATTATGGAGTTTCGTCCTAGACTCTGTAGGGAAAAGGCTTCGTTCGTTGTCTTCAATCTTTCTTCTTTCTTTAAAGTTGCAATCACCCACTTCCTCTTTTCTGCCGGTGTGAGGTCGGCTCCATTTCTTGCAAAATTGAAAACAACCCCATGCTTTTCATGTAGTTCGTCCAGTTCATGCACCTTCCCTTCTAGATATCTCCATAGAACGATTTCTTCTTCCTTCCCTTGTGAGTTGGTGTATGTTTCTTTCGTTTGAACGCCTTCCACTTTTGTGCTCTCGATGAGGAGTGTGTCATTATCGATCACACTGGCTGGGGTTCGCAATGTGGTTGTTGGGTTTTGCAGCGTCTGTTTAAACGTTGCAGCCATACGACGGTTACCAGGGGCCTGCATTTTGTTGCCTGAGAGGTCTTACGTTTCTCCCTCTCTCTCTCTCTCTCTCTCTCTCTCTCTCTCTCTCTCTCTCTCTCTCTCTCTCTCTCTCTCTCTCTCTCTCTCTCTCTCTCTCTNCTCTCTCTCTCTCTCTCTCTCTCTCTCTCTCTCTCTCTCTCTCTCTCTCTCTCTCTCTCTCTCTCTCTCTCTCTCTCTCTCTCTCTTTCTTTCGTCTTGGTGCTGGGGAGGTTAGCAGGGCGTGAGTTGTAGGGACGGGGGAAAGTGGAATTGTGAAGGTTTGTGAGTTGGGTGGGATCTGGGACTGGGTTATGAACGGGGTGTGACTTTTAGAAGTTATAGGGGTTAGGGAGGGGGGAAGGGTTAATATCAGTAGGTACGGGCGAGATCGTGCATGTCAGGGGAGTGTTCCAGCGAGCTGGGGTACGGATGAGAGAGGGGAAGGGTGTCAGGAAGGCAGAGCTCGGTTGGGTTGAGACGATTGATAACGGGTTTCGAGCCAGGGGTAAGAAGAAAGCTATGGTCTGTGTAGAGTGGAACTGGTTGTGAGATGATGGGTGGAGAGGAGAGGTGGGGGCGGGTGTTTATGATGACGAGTATGGTGAGGAGTCCAAAAAAAGAACCGATATAGAGGGGGGGGGTGGACTGTCAGCTGATAGTGGGGGAGTAGGGCTGTTGCGGACTAGGGGAGAGCGGGGTGGACAGGGATTGTCAGTTTTCTGGGGTCTTCAGTGCGGGAGTATGGGAGGGGGAGAGAGGGATATGGGGGAGGGATATAGACTTTTCTCGCTTCAACTGGTAGATTTGCATGCTGGGGAGTTCCTGCTTACGAGGTGATCATTGAAGCCTCCACTTAGTAGGCGGTGTCGGCCAGATGCAGCTCGTACTGATGCCTGTGCGTTGAGCTCACACCTAGCTGTTGGTAGAACTTGCAATCGATATTGTCGTAGTCGCTGCCGCCTTTTATCCTGCTGTCGATCCTCTTGTGTGCTCTCCAAGATCCTTCCTCCCGTATCTCAAGGCTGTCGTTGGTGCATTCACTTGGCAGGAGGCTCCGACTGGATACCGATTGTGGAGTGCTCGTAAGCAATACAGCAACCAAGCTGCCCTTGTCGTGTTCCGTTGGAGGCCTCGGCGCGCGCGCTAGGCACGCGCGTGCGCGGCGCTCGCGGGGCTCCTACGTACTTACAAGGGGCTATGGTGATCTAGCTAGGGCGCTTTCTCGTCGTCTTGCTTGGCGACGTTCGTCGCTTTCGGTTCGAACGTACTCGCCCGCGCGGCGCAGAGGGCCATGGGCGCGAACTTCGAAATTGGCGCTAAAACGGCGCTAACCAGAGGCGCTCACAGCATCATTCCTCCTATACTTCTACCATCTAATTTAATACTAATTTTGGAAAGGCAAACTTCACAGGAAATCTGTGTTGCTACTGGCCTCAAAAACAGATGCTCTTTGATAGGTGTGAAAATGTCGATGCATCTTCTGAGACCAGCAATTGGTAAGGAAACTGGACGGGACGGTGGACCCGGCCAGCAGTGTTGTTCTTCAGAATTTGGAAGTAGGGGAACCAGGAAGAGATAGCAGATATCTGGCGCCAGGTTCAGGGTGAAGAGGTTCCCCCCTCCCAATCTCCTGCTCAGTCAATCCCCTGGACCCCAGGGTAATCAATGCTGGCAGGATCATACCACACTTTTTCTGATGTGACTTGATGTGATTTGAACCTTGACTTATGTAAGGGACGCTGGACCCGGTTTCCAGCAGGTGCTGCTCCCCACCAATAGATGGAGCCCTCCCCAGGTGCTAGCGGTGTCTGCTCTTACCAGCACCACTAGCACTGACGGGTGCGTTTTAAAAAAAAAAAAAAAAAAAAAAAAAAAAAAAAAAAAAAAAAAAAAAAAAAAATGTCGATTCATCTTCACTTTGTCTCTTTCACTTTGGAACACCGGTCACTGTCCTTCTTGACCTCCCTTCATCAAGTTGGTGAAACTGGAGTCTGTTTTAGGAATGATCTTACCTCTCTTCTTTCCTTCCTTGTCGCTAGTGTCGCCTTGTTGGTTTCTTCTTGTGGAAATCTCCTTCCGCTCGAGCTTTCTGTCCTTTCCCTTCTTAGCTTTCCTTCTATCACTGCTCCTTTTCCTTCATTTGCTCTCCCTCTACCATCATTCTCTCTCTCTACCATCATTCCGTACTCGTTGTTTCCCTTTTCCGATCTTGTTGCCTGTGTCGGGCAAGTCATTCCCCCTCTTCTTTTTCCTCTTCTCACCTACCCCTTCGTCTTTGCCTCCCTCCATCGCCACGCCTCAGGGTGTGGCGTGGTGTGGCATGAGTTCGTTCTTTCCTGCACTGCACCGCGTTCGAACTTCAAACACTCACGTCGGCGCCTGTGCATGGCGCTTTGCGCCTTGCCCTGTGAAGCCGAGTCCACTTGGAAGCGTTAGCGCTCACGCCAACGGTGTGGTCGCGAGTCCCACCTGCAACCCTCAAATTTATTTTTTGAAATGTGCAAAATTTTCCTGCTGGTATTTGGATCTTTGTAAATTTCACATTCCCTGGTTTCTGGTGACCTGAACTCTGCTAATGGGTAAATCATCGTAAATGTACATGTTTATGGAGAAAATGAGTACTCTTGTTGGCAAAAAGTGAACTAGGCTGCGAGGTGGTATGTTGCCTGAGCAGAAATAGAAGGGCAGCTGCGGGGAGTGCCCACTCCTCATTGGTGCCATGTACTGCATGTTTAAATTCCGAGGTTTTAATGCCCATGCTTTTGTAACAAGAACAACGCTCTAAAGGGTGCTCGAATGGGGTTACTTGTGTTGGTGAATCCTGCATGACCATGACATGTGATTGCCAACATCAGCAGTTTGCTACACCTGCCCTATAAATTGACTGCTCTGACTTTATTCGACATAACTCGTCCACACTTTCAAGTTTCAATCAATCCAGTCAACTTCAGCTTCCCTCGATGCAGGCGGTGTGGGCAATGGCCGCACAGAAAGAAAAGGCATAGTCAAGGACAGAAGTAACTCGGATGAAAATGACAAACGCCTCCATCGCACGGGCTGTGAGGAGAGATGAAACAACGAACTCATCCAAACGCCTCTCATCTTGAAATAATAATAAAAAAAAAAGCGACAAAAAAAACAAACGCAATCCAACCCCAAAACGTCAACTCCTACAGTCAGACGGCCTCGTTTCACATATATTCCTTTCCATCCACACCTGTCGTTTGCCCTCTCCAATTGATGTTCGGCCGTCCTTTGCCGGCGTGCCATGAACAGTTTGGTGGAAGATCCCTCTCTGCACCCGCTCAGCCATCGATCGTCCTCATCCAAGGGCCTTTGCTAATACCTCCGCCCACATTTGCCATGCAGGTTGCCATTCACCATCGCCCGCACCGATGCTCCATGAGGGTTAGGATGTTGCCATCGTTAAGTTATTTCCCTTTTCACATGATGTCAGTTGACGTTCGTTGCCTCCGGCACAAGGCCATTGGAATGATGACTACTGACTATGGACCGCCAATTCTGTATTTTTCTATGGTTACAGGGCGGGTTCACGAGCTTTGTGGAGAAGCTGAGGTTCAGGAACTCTTCCAACTTGGTGTTCTTTGAGAAGGAAACGGATGGCCAGTTTTTTGATGTGGATGGGTCTCTGACAGGCAAGAATGGGTCCAATGTTGCACCATCGAGCAGCATCTTTTTTGAGGACGAGTGCCCACCTGCACCCAGTCCAGCGTATCGTGCAGCGGTTTTATGCAAGCCAGGAGTTGACTTCTTCCGAGTTATCGTTGAATTCCAAGGGTACTCCGCAGTTTTCACAACTTCAAGAGGGAATGACACAAGAAAGGTGATCGCACCATTCATGCCAATGAGTAACGTAAACTTGGCAGTGCTTCCAGGGCGCAAGCTGTATGATCTGACCTGGGGGGAGGACTGGATTACGTGGCGGTATAACCTTAGGGTGACAGCAGACAGAGCCTATGCCTCCAATTCATACCTGCTTCTGCAGTATCGCCTGGACAACGAGTGGCACTCTGTTCAGACCTGCCTGAATATTGGGTGTGACAAACGCATGATCGTGGACAGGGAAATTCAACCAGATGCTGATCCTTCTGGTTCTTCACTTTACAACAAGACATTACTTCCAAGCAACCAGACTGTTCTCACGGTTCTTTTCAGAGAGAATGTGGGAGGGATGAACATAATACCAATTGCCTGTCCTGAATGGGGATGCAATGCACTGCCTCCCGTTCCAGCACCCACGGCATCAGTGCCATCAGAGACACTAATGTGGTCAGACCCGAACATATGGGCTGACCCCATCGCTAGAACTAACGGAAAAATGCCAGAAGCAGGTTCTGCAGTGCTCATTCCATCTCATTGGAATCTCACGCTGGATATTTCTCCTCCACCACTGAAAAACATAACCATCCAAGGTCAGAGTTGTCATAACCCCACCACCATATGCAATTGCCTTATTGAAAAAACAAGTCCTTGACCGCCATGGCTATGCCAGTGGCGCACACCTGCTCTGTGTCCTCAACCCCAGTCTCCCGGCGGCTCCTATGTGCACTGTGGTATACCGTGGCCCAGGGTTGTCAATCCTCAGGTGGGGATCCCCGCTGGGGTTCCAGGGATGGGATTCCCGATGGGAACCCCAACCCCAGGAAAATTTTACCTCCAAAAAGAAGACCAAAAAAAAGGGGGGAAAAAAAGGGGGGAGAGGGTGCGCAGTGACAGCGCCGTCATCCCGGGAGAGAAAAAAAAAAACAGTTTGGGGACCTCCGGCGAGGCCCCCGGGGACGGGCCCCATGCTGGCGGGGCCGGGGACGGGCGGGGATGGGATGTGGGCCCACGGTCGGGGTTCCGGGACGGGGTGGCGGGGGTAGGGGCGAGGGCAGGGGCAGGGGGGGCCGCGGGCGGGAGCCGGCACGTGAACGGGGATGGGCGGGGTGGCACGGCAGGGTTGTGAGGTGGGGGCTGGTGTGCCAGGTGTGGTGTGTGTGTCTGTGTGTGTGTGAGAGAGAGAGGCTGTGTGTGTGTGTGTGTGTGCGTGCATGTGTGTGTGTGTGTTTGTGTG